TTCAGGTTTTAGCACTAGTTAACAATATTTTTGTTCAGCTGTCACACTTTTACTCTTTTCCTGAAAGCTCTTAGGCTTCACAAATTTGCAACAGCATACTTGGTCTCACCTTTGACTTGCAGTTTAGATACTAGATCTTATGAGAGCCACCTGAAGTTCTTTTGTCTTTCTTTTTGGGCAAGAACCAAGGTGAAGCTTTTTCCATCCATCCAACCCCCATGAAGCCTTACAAGACAAGGGAGGTCTGGCCTGCAACTCCATTCCATTTGACTTTTGGATGCAATTTTGCTCTCTCCAGAATGACTGAGAGTACCTTCTTCTGCAGAAAATTGTCTTGTTTAGATACTACCTTCCTCTATATTGCTGCTCCAAGATTCTTCATTTCCCATGAGTCCACAGAGAGTGGGTGTGTGGGGGTGAGGCATCAAGAGGAAACCAAGTTTGATTAATACCATTCTTTCACATTTTACACATCTTCTACCAGATTTTTTCTTTTGAGTAGGTAAAGCTACCAATACATACCAGTACCACTTCCATATTTTTCCTCCAAGCTTAGTGGCACCAACAGTAAAAATCTGACCATTGTTTGGGGACTGGTATTTTGAGAACACTCAGCATCATGCTGACAGGTATCTTCTTCCTGTGCTTTCTACTTTAAACTGGTTAACTAAGTTGAGTAGTTACTAAAATTACCATGAATTCTAGGATTAGATTAGGGTTTCTGTGTGTTCTCAAATATGAAGAATAACCCAGGATATTGCTACACAATAGAGCTCCTATTGCCAGAGTTCAGTAATTTAGACTTGCGTTTATGCAGTTTATGTTAAAAGTGAGGAGAGTGCCTTGTGCTTACTAGATCTCATTTTATTTAATTTAAAAGAACTAGGCAATTTCCCCTCCCTCAGCACATAATGCAGATCATGCCTGAGAAGGATCTAAAGTAATGCTACAGCTGCTTAGCTCTTCCCTTGCACTAAATTCTGCATTCATTTCTGCTCTAGTCTGTATTTCTATTTTATAATGAAACATACAGCCTAGTTATTTATAGGCTTTCTAAGGATTAACTACACACTCATAAGAATAAACCCTCAAGAGGTTAACCTCATCCTCTTAAGCTTCACACACTACAATCCCAGAGATAGCTGGCAACCACAGCCAAGAGAGAAAAAATAATCCCACATCTTGCTAATCCTTTAGCCAATCACCTCATGCAACAGTGGAGAGGCCTCTCGGAGGCCAACAACTCAATCTGTCTCAGGAGAACTGTCAGCCCAAATGATACTATATTTCACTAAATCATTAGCAACACACCTCAACAGGAAAAATAAGATGTAGCTGGCTTCTCAGTGGTATGCTGAAATCGTGCATCAAAAATACTGTGCTGAAGAAAGTTTCCTGTTTGCTGCTTGTATTTCTCATTCAGATATTTTCATATTTGACTCAGAAAACTAGTTTATTGATTGGAAAGTAAATCTAATCTTCAACTGTTCACACCTAGACACACCAATTTAACTTATTAAATCACTTATACTCCCTAACATGAACCTGTTATTTTCTAGACATATCTCACGAAAACAGCCCCACAAAAAACCAAGCAGACACTGAAACAAAACACAAAAAACCCAAACCACCCACAAAAAAGCCAAAACAAGCCTTCAAGTTACACCATAATAGTCTACCTAATTCTTTCATACCGTGATCTACAGTCTTCCTTAACTGCAGAAGTGGACACCGCTGGCAGCTGCAGCAAGGCCAAGGAGTTAATGGGGGCACTTATCCTTTTAGTTAGGGTTTCTGCTTTGTTCATTATTTATCTAGCAAAATTGCTACTTCATTCTACTCTAATATAATAAATATTAAATGGTGCTATCTTTTAAAAAAATTGAAAGGAGATTGTTTAGCCACACTGCTAACCCATGGCTGACAGTAAAAGCCTTCAAGAACATGTAGGATAAGTGTAAGGCCAGGAGTATGACTGTTAATAACCAAACACCATCCAGGGTTTCTTTCCTGAAGTAAGAATTTTTAATCAACACAGAGGATTAGCACTGCTTGCAAGCTCACTGAGTCCAACTATATTACTTTCTTTAAAAAATGTGTCAATTTATTCATTCTGTTTCATACGTGCTTAATATACACCTATTCCAAAGCCTAGCTTTTGATTTTGTAGTCAAATTCTCTGAAAAATCCTGGTCCTGTGAGACTGTAAGTCTCTATTCTCATAGTCTGTCCTCTAATAGGCTTCCCTCCTTTCAACTGGAAATAAAAAGTATAAAATAAATTTAGTTCAAAATAATTTTGTATTTCAAAACACTTTTTCAGTAATTTAAAAGCCTTTGTTTCCTTCCAGATTTCATACACTGCACAGAAGTAACATGAACTTCTCTTACTGAAGGAAGCCAACTGGGAAACTCTTGAATTATCTGGTGTCAGGAAGCAAGGGCCCTTAATGACATAAAGGAAGAGGGGGGAAAAAGGCAAATCCTAGCAGAAATGCAGAATTTTACTTAGTAAAGAGAAACCAGGCAAGTTAGTACCAGCTAACAAAATAAACTTCCCTCCTATCCTCAAGAATTATCATATGCATGTATTTTAGGTAGCGTGACACCAATTGCATCTTCTACTGTTACAGATTGGTCCAGCCTATTTGCACCCTGAAAAGAAGTTTGATGATCTTTCATGCCCATAATAGGTGTCTAAACCGTTAAATTACTATATCTTTTCTTATCTTGAAAGACCCTGCACTTCAGCAGCACGGCCCTTCCATTGTTCTTTACACTAAGTCGGGCCCCTGAACAATACTGACAGCTGCTATCAAACTGTGCCGTGCTCACCCTCGGTGCAGCTGCCGCTTGTAGGAACAGACAGGCCTCTGATGTGTCCTCCCCTCTGGGGAAAGGGCTTGACACCCTCAGTGCTCAGTGAGGGGGAGCAAAGGTCCACTGAATTGTCAGCCTGATTTTATGCTATTCACATTTTCCAGGACATACACCGTCCCTTTCAAACAAAACCAAGCATATGTCAGAGCATGAAACTTATTGTGGAGCACAAGATAACTATCGATTAATAAGACTGTAAAAGATCACTGGGACATACATCTAATTTTGGCATTATGGAAATGCATGCACCTACGTGGTCAAACAAGTTTTGTGCCCAGCATGTTAATTTCCTCACTCGCAGTTTTGGATTTGTATGGCATCATTCAGGAGTCTTTCAGAAGACACAGGAACAGTATTTCTTCAGGTAAATCTTAGATGATTATAAAACCAAAATGTTAGAGCCTACTATTCCTGCTTCCAAAGAGCTTCCCTCCCTGCTCCCCAAAACCCCTAAAGTTCTTAATTGCATGTGGTACTTGTAGATCCTATGGCTTTTAAGACTTTGGTGCAGACATTAAAAAAAGCAGTTGACATGCCTGAGATAGCAAAATTTGGTTTGTCTAAGTAGCACTATTTTAAGGCAAGAAAAAATCTTGAAAAGTATGTTTTAATATGTTTCCTTTTACTGCATAAACTCTTCTTTAAAATTACTTCATAATGAAGAGTTTTCCATTCCATTTTCATCCTTAAGAAGCGATTTGTTTTAAAAAATGTAAGAAAGTACAGTTCTCTAATCTTTGCTAATCGAATACCACAAATGTACATGTGGCATATTTCAAAGATGAAATCAGGTATTCATAAACTAATTAATTACACAAGCAAAGCATAGAGGAGATTCTGACAAATACAGATGTAATTGTGTGGGTTTCTAAGATGTGATTAGCAAATCAACTAAGTAACAGTCAAAATTTGATACGAAGGAAAAACAGCACAGATTTGCAGGGGGGGTATGTTTATGCAAAGCTAATCTGTCAAGTGTAATAAAGCAGCTTGAATAAAATTTAAGCTGAAAATCCACTGAAGCTCCCCATTTCAGGGAGGAAAAGCTATTAAAAGGAAATGAAGGTCACCCTCCCAGTTTATTTCACCTAATTGACTGCCAATAGCTTACCACAGGCAAACCGACTGCAGATCTGCAATTGAGAAACTGATGAAAGGAGCATTTTCAAGCTGAGGCTCATTCTTTTAATCCTCCCTCTCTCCTATTTTTTTTTTCCATCTCCAGTTGGGATGTAATTTTAAGCACAGATGGATTAACTGGTTCCATTGTCTGTAGACGTCATTGGACTATGGCACTGTTAATCCGTACAGCAGCATGTCTAATTATCATTACAAAGTGTCTGAGGGAACTATAAAGACCAGCAGGGCATCTTCTCACAAGCAATTAACATAAATTGATAAATGAGTAATTTGAATCTGCTAAAGGCGCTCACATATGAATAAAATCAGAAAGGACAGGTTCTTGTTTCGGCTACTTCTTTCACTTAGTTGGAAGGGCAGAAAACATGAGAAATATTCCAGACTTAGTGGCAGGGGAAATGAACTCATACAGTGGAAGGAATGTATGGTTCAAAAAGTTCATTAATACAAAGCAAATGACTTGTGATTGACAACCAGTCACAAGCAAGTAGTATTAACTTTTTTAGCATATTTAAAAGCACATTCTTGGTGAAAGGCTATTAGAACACTGTGTCAGACAATTAATACTACTTCAAAAGGAAGTGAAGTTTCTATTCAGTAGCTTGCTAATTTAAAATTCATGAAAGATTCACAAGAAAGGGAAAGAAAGAAGAATGAATAGTTGTATAAGCTCCAAGAACTCAAGTATCACAAAAACCATGAGGAAAAAGTATCTAGCTCAACTGACATACAATACCCATAAATAAACAAGCAACTCTCCTAAAACTCTATTTCTTGCAGGAAAAGTTTTGTTACATGCAGCACCCCTGACCAAAATTATGTTCTGACAAAGTAAATTACTACCTTTATCTCTGCTAAAACCTGCGTGAAGCAAAAACACTTCATCAACACTGGGCATCAAAACAATGTCAGAAATCAAAACATTAAGTTTGTTTTAAAAAAATAGCAAAGCAGTAAGATATGAAAGCAAGTTATACACACTGTAGGAGGTAGACCTGGAAGGCCACGTACCCCGATGATGGCATTCAATTCAGCCATGGTCACTTGTTTGGCACGTTCTACAGCTTGGGCCACTTGTTGCTGATGCTGTTGAAAGAAGAAGGGGTATAAGGAGGAATTTGTGTTAAGGCATTACCACACCATATCAAACCAGGATCACAAATACTTGAATAACCAGTTTGTCTGCAGAAGCTCACAATACGCATTGCAAGACATCTCATGCAGGTAAAAGGTAACAATACCCTATTTTTCACCTGCTCAAAAGGAAAGAAGAGACCTGAAGGCAGCCAGCTTATCTCTTCCCCCAAAGTCCCTTCATTATTTGTTGTCTGGCAGATGAATAATCATTTTTAATTGAGCCAACAGGACAATGTCAACTTTAGTTTCAATTTTAACATTTATGGACTCTGTGCCTATATAGCAAAATCAACTGAAATTTTAAACAAGGAAAAGCTGCCCACAACATGCTAAAATCACAGTCCTTCAGACTAAATGTAGGTCTAAAAACTTAAATAGTGTTTTGCATAGGAGCTAAACACCTTTGACATAAATTATGTAGAGAACATAAGCATGCTTATTTTATTAGATCTATACTTGACAACTGAATATCTAATAAACAATCACCATGATTAGAAACAAAAGCATTTTCTTGTATTGCTACTATTTTACAGACTCCCACTCTCCTCAGGCACTGAATGAGGCTGAGCCATTGTCACTAGTTTGAACTCAGATTTGTTAGATCACATTAGCAGGGGGTTTGCACACTTCAGCTACAACAGATGTTCCTTACACTTGTGTATTGTGATAAAATTAACATCTTAAAACTAGCTAATTTGCAAACAGAAAAACAACATAATCGCATTTTAACAGCTGAACAGTTTTACTTACTTCCTGAGACAAAAATGGGATGACTTGTGCACAAATTGTATTCAATCTCTTCGCAATTTCTGTCTACAGAGTAAAAGTATTTTGATTAAAAACTGCATTTTAGGGGTTTGACATATTAACTATTATACAGGATTATATTAAGTTCAGACAGTGAAGAAAGTAACAAAATATTACCCATTTTTCACACTACTGCAAATATAAGTACTTAACATACAAGCCTAGACATGGAAAGAGATTTTGTTAGCTACTCTAGGACATCTGCCATGTCTAAAGCACCTAATCTGTACACACATTTAGGCACAAATCTGGTCCTTGTATATACTTCATTATTAAGCAGAGCATTTTTGAAATCCATTAACTCCAAGATAAAGCCTTTTAAAAGGTAGATTTATTATTACTCAAATTATCAAGCAGCATAATATGAAGACAGCAGGAGTAGAAGAAAAATGCTTCTTTCCTGATCAATTTTATCTGCCTATTAGAAGGTAAAACGACAGAAATGCACCATTGGGAATACAAAAGAAATACTAAAACAGAAGAATGGAGACAAAAAGTGCAGACTTCTAAAATCCATATTGAAAGAGAATTAAAATCATGCAAACAAGGAAAAAAGAAATAGATCAGAAAATGTGATCTTGTGAACAGCACATTTGTGAAACCATGAACAGCAGGAGAACAAGGTTAGGAACCAGAAAAGAACAGAACAATCCTTCAGGGAAATCAACAGAGATTACAGCAGGACAAAGAATTTGAGTCCCACTTTTCAACAACCTCATATATCTTGTACTTCTCTATGTCCCACTTTGTCATGTCAACCTAAACCCTGGATTCCTGGTGGGGTAAAGGGATCCTTTTCTCTCATTACTCAGTGTTATCTGTGTTTACAGCCTTTCAGACCCATACATCTGCCCATAATTCAGAGCCGCTATTATAATTAACCCTCAAGCTACCTGTACAATTTCCTCAGTTTTCCTTAAAAACAGCAATTTCAGTCACTGTAGCACAGTTGCACAAAACCAAAATCAGCACCTAGACAAGAACACAGCTTATGTAAGAGACACTGAAAAGCTCCTGTCCATCCCTGTCATATAATCAATCCATAAAGACATTTCTTGGTTAGCTGGGGTTTTTTTTTAATGTTTCAAGACAGAAGAAACAAGCAGTCACTACTAGGAATCATTAGGCCTTCTATGACATCTTATGTATTAAAGCTGAGCAAAGATAAACTCACTGAAGTCAGACTAAAACTGTTAACTCTCTGCCAAGCCCTTTCCTGAATCTTTCCATAACTCTGAGGTTTTTCAAGAAGATGCTGTGGTATGTTGATCCTCATACATCAGTCACATCCTAACTGGGATACAAAATCAACCCTCTAGCTTTATGTCTTAGGAGACAGGTGATTTGGGATCTAAGCATAATTAGCAACTTGGACACCTCCTTCCAAACCTCTGACAGACACAGGGAAAATACATGATGGCATCTAGACCTGTAAAACACAATCTCTCTTGATGTGAAGCACTCCACCTGACCAAACCCTGATATTTGACACATCCAAAACTATACAGTTTTGCAGAAGCTTCCAAAGAAGTTCCGGGATGGCTTCTTCCTAGGATTAAAAGGTTTCCCTTAACTAAGGGCAATGAAGTGACAGTTGCTTTACAGGAAATCGTTGCCCCCCTGCAAGAAGGTGAACATATCTCTATTCTCAACTGAAACAGCTATCATTTCACAGAGTTCTGTCTGGACCACAACCACAAAACATCTATAATTCCATATTTAGCCTTTAGTACTCATACTATACACATAATAGCAAAGTCAACACTTGGAAGTTACCAGCTTATCTATTACTGGTCATGAGACTTAACTATTACCAAATCTGTTGGTATTTCTATGTTAAAGGAAGAAAAAAAACCAAACACATGTACTAATGGGCATTTTTCTACATACCTAGTATATCTCTCCAGAAAGCAGGGTACATCAGCTGTGGAAAGGTAGTCTGTTGCATAGCAATCTGTTTGGCTGATGTTTAGCTAAGATGTTTAGGATCCAAGACTTAATTGCCCTAGACCAATGGGAATAATTTTGTTTTTCAGCCAGGAACAAGTAGGAATCACAGCAGGTGACAAGAGAGGATAGAGATGGAATAAAGTAAAGAAACTCACTTGGTCTCTACTGCAAAGTTATTTGGCCTGTATGGGCCACACAAATGGCCTACACATTTACCCTATTCTAAGGTAAATGTTCTTATTGCTGCTATAAGGGAAAAAATGCAATCCTATTTTTGGTGGAGTCTGTAAAACATGCAAGTTGTCCATATTATTGGATTTTTCTGCTCTGAATCCCCAACGTCTAACCTACACTGTAATAACATATCATACATGACATTAAACAGTAAGACAAAAATGTGTACTCTTCTTAGTTTGTCTTTACCAAACCTGGGCATCATTGAAGACCATATGTGAACAGCAACCTTAATTCAACTACAGTGCTAGAGAAACTTAAATGTACATGCCTAAAATAAGTTTATTTTGAGATTTCTTGCTGTTGTTACAAGTGCCAGTTAAGAGACACCTACACTGAAAATTGAAATGACTAGTCTATTAACCATAAAAAAGTCTGCTTGCCTTTAGAAGGCAGTTTGTCTAAGACAGTTTTCACACACGTTTTAAGTACTTAGAACTGTTTATCTACTATGCAATTTCATGCAGCTCCTGTTTGCTGCACTCTAATATTAAGTAAAAAAATGTCATTCACAAACATGTCAAAAAAATTTTGTTGTCTAGTAATTTGTCAAATTCAAAGTTTATGTAATTTTGCTGATCAAGAGCTGCAAGAGGTTGTCTTAAGAATTAAGAAATAATGAACATTTGTTACTTTAAATGTAAATGCAACAGTTCAATAGACAATGCATGTTTGCTTTTTAAGGTGAAATACCCTTGAGTATGCGTGCACGCGTGCCTGTAAGTGTGTACACATTCATTCTGGAAAGCAAAACCCCTTTCTGAAAGAGTCAAGGACAGTTTCATTAACCAAGACTAGACATCAGTTACTGGTGTCATTAGAGTAAGCCCACAGACTGGGGCTCAGAATTTGAAAGCCTTAAAATAAAGGTACTTATCTCCTGTTTCTAGAGGCTTTCGAATATAACATAACTATTACCTAACTGCTCATTTTGAGACATATAAATAAAGAGGTCCTAAGGATGAATAAACAAAGGAAACTTTGCAGAAAGCTGCTCAAACATAGACAAACATGACTAATTGCTCATGTTCTGTGGCTCCTTGGTAAAGCAGGCTACAGAAGCCTGCATCCTTCATGAAAGTCCTCTGAGCTCTACAGCAGCTCTTAGCAAAGCATCTGAAGTGCCCTTAATTGTTTGTGTTCTTAATGCAGAGCCTCTTGAATACATTCATTTTTAATAGAGAACTTGAGTGTGAGGCCCATCAAAGAATAACAAAACTACATCATTCACTGGTTCTTGCTGCTGTAATGATTGTCTTCTGATTTATTTGCAAATGACTAGCTTGTCAGACCCCTGACTGAAGTGCTACCCTCCTTTCTGAAGTATCATTAAAAATTAACATGAAGGAATTCAGCTGCATTTTGTAAAATTAAGTTCAGCAGATGGATTTTTTTCTCTTCACTTATGTAATTTTTTTTGCCTCTGTTCCATTTAGTTAAGGACTTAAATGTTTTGACCTAACCATTGCCAAACTCAAGTGTTTGTACTTAAGTTTGTCTTGCACATTTGTTAAAGTGAATTCTTAACATAATGACAAAGAACAAAGCAGCCAGACTAGTTACTAAATACAACACTCATTTAAATAAGGCTTTTTACTATGGACTTAAACTTGTTTGTAGAATTGAATTCTGCTTTCCTTCTGTATTGTTAGAAAAAAGTATTGACCTGTTTTCCTTTACAGTGGTCTGCTCCAGATAATTTTGCACTTTGATACCTTATGTGGAACTTTGGAAAGTACAGGCTATCATACCTAAATCACCACAAATTCTTGAAAAGGACAGATTTTTGCAATGAAATTAAAAGGAAGTATAACACAAGTATTCAAGTTGTATTTCACAGCATAACAAACACCCATGTGTATTTTAGCTCTATGTAAGAAGCCCTAACTCATGGGAACCAGCAGTTTAACTTCTGAGTGAAGAACACAGACTTTCTCTGAGGAGAATTAGTTAATCCCCTTTCAGCTTCAGAGGTTTCAAGGGGAGTAATTTTGGGTTTGCTCCAAGCAGTGTCTACCAATACATATCCCAGTACTAACTTCAGCTATAGGATCCGTGGTGATTTAAGACAAAAATTAAATCTTACAACATGTCAGTTTTAGCAATCACTTGCCCTGCAACAGCTGCTCCATTATTATGGCTCAGGCTCATCAAAGCTGTCCAGATTCTATTTTACAAAGTGATGCTTGGCTAAAAATGTCCATTTTATGTCAGAAGCTTGTTATTCATTCCTGCACTGAACTTCCAGTATCACAAAGTTAGAGCAGTGCTTTCAGATCTGATCTATCACCAGTTCTGAAGTATTCTTACTTTTTACATTTTTATTTATGCTATTATTATGATCCAATTTTGCAAGTAAAATTTGTAATAAATTCAGAAAAATACAGCTTAGGAACAATATGATTAAAAACAAAGCAAAAACCACCAATGTTCTGATAATACCAAAGAAGCATGTCCCAAATCATTCCCCTCAAGCAAAAGAATCAGAGAATCAGCCTTTAATGCACACAAAGGAATATACTGTTAAAACACATTCACAAAAGCTTTAGAAGGTAATTCTTAAGCATTCTGCCTCTGCTTACACTTTCAGGAATTAGAAAGCCAAGTACAACACTGAACTCCTCCTGGAAGGACAAAATGGACTTCCTGCCATTTACAGCATGTAACACAGTAATCCACTGGGGAGGAAAGGTCAACGTTGCACTTTTGGTCATTACTGAATCATTTGAGATTATCTGTGGTGGGGATGAGAAGAAAAATCGAAGCCTATGAGAATGCTGCGAATGGCTTGACCTCAGCCCAGTTTTCATCTCCATCTGTCT